GTAATACACTCGACAGAGACGTTGAAGATTCTGTACGAATGACCATTTTTTTCTGAAAGTTCTACAGCTGATAATAGTTGGCAGTGAATATGGATGATGACATTGAGAAGATGGTAAACTTCAGTGAATCATCTTGGAATATTCAACAATCGAGAGAGTTGGTATGAATTGTTTTTTGTTAGTAACAACAATAGCTTATGATTCTATATTGTTTTGGCTAAATGTTATGAGGAATAAAGAACAAAATATCTTTCCTCCGATACCATGTAAATATCAGCCTTAGAGTGTGTAATAATTCATCAAGGAAATAATGCCAACACAGTGTAGGAAAATGTTGTACATTTTTTATTATTGTTTGGCTGCTGCCTGAATGTTTTAGGTAGATTTAATCAATAAAAATACATCGGAGCTGAATCAAAGAAGAAAAATTTAATTACTGTTAATTTTTAATAAAGTACGAATTATCACACAACAAACCACGAATTGCTACACAACAAAGTACGAATTATCACACAACAACTCGCGAGTTTCGCGGTTAGAATAAATTTTATTTTTTAATAAAAACGTAATTAAAGGACTTTACAATTCTTGATTTTTATGGATTTTCCAGTTCGAATTTGAAAACGAAATTGAACCTTTCCGATAAAAAGCACAAGATCGAAATCAACATAATCAATTCAAAAAAAAACAATATGAGAAGAATTAGAAAGGCCATTAAACTCTCAACCACACACAACACAGCACCAAAAACAGTTTCTTCAACTGATATTGAAAAGCTGGACTCTTTAGAATTCAATGATTGGGCAACATCAACAACTCAATATGCAAGACAAGAAAAATCTCCGGATGAAAGAAGCTCCTTAACTCAAACAACTCAAAAAAATGGCACCCAAGATGTCACACAAACAGTTACTTCATCATTCGAAGCCTATGATGCAGCATGCAAGAAATTATCAACAAAGTTACGGTTATTATCAAATAGAATCTTGAGAGATTTATTGAAAGAAGAATTTAAAGTTACACTTGGATTATCATCATCTAAAGAAACAATGGTACAAGAAATTATTTCTAAATTATTTTCTTCATCACCATCTCCGAAGGACAATATTATGCAAAAAGCTGATATTTTGATTTATGAATGGACCATCAAACAAAAGGAAATTACCAACAATTCGTCAGATACTGGCACTTCATCATCAAATACTAAAGTGATGCCTGTTTTATCTTTCAACAATAAACAGGTTACCTCTTACAAACAACTAACACGAGAAGAAATGTATACACATGCCATACAATACACCACAAAGTATCCAAAAAGAGAGTATGGATCTAAATCAGTATATTGCAAGCAAAATAAGATTACCCTTGATCAGTTAGGAAGATTATTGAAACAATTTGATAATGGTAGTTTGACTGGAAAAGAAACATTAGCAAGAGGTAGAAAATCTCTAAAATTAACAAGTGATGAAATTGTTTCTGTAATTACTGATATTAGATCCCAAAGAGATGCTAAAAAGCAAATTTCAGATAAGACAATCCATGGAGCTATCACAAAAATTACAAATAAGACAGTGAGTTTGTCTTATTGTCACAGTTTTGGAGTTAAATATTTTGATCAAGAATCAGTGAAAACTAAA